GTAGCAGATCCTTTGGGTCCCGTGGGTTATGAGGTGGGTCCTCCATTGATCAGACTTGTTTTTTATCCAGTTCAGCAGGGACTGGACTAATTTCAATAAATGTCTGGCCTTCCCTGCTCAACAGAAGCTTTTTGTTTGATTGACTTTTGGTGAAGACACATGCTGGAAATTGTTTCTCAATCAGCACCTGCAGCCACTGATCAGTGTATTTGGACATTGGTGGGCTCTGCTGTCAGAATACAATGTCCCATCAGAGAGGATTCTTCCATCCATGTATTCTGTCTATGGCCAATCTATGGCCAGCTTTAGACTTCTAATTCAATGAACAGATCTTGAAATAATCTCCAAATGCCTGGCAACTCTTCATCTTAGTGATATACACGAGACTTGTAGTACTGCTCCAAGCTGGAAGGTAAAGGATTTCCCCGCCGGTCGTGTCATTGAGGGAGCGAGTGGCTATGTACCATTTAGAAGTATAGGTCCAACATGAAAGAACTGAAACATGAAACATGAAAGTTGCTGCTCAACTGAACTGGTGCTTGGGTAGTGTAAATGTATATGGCCAACACCCCCTGACGTGTTTCGTCCTTGGTTTCCTCTGTCAAGAGAGCTTGGCTAGAGCAGCGTTGGCTGAGGCCAGATACACTTACAGTCCATCTTAAATTCATTTTCAATTACCTCAATTATTTATGTGATTGAAGTCTTTCTACATAGTACCAGTAAAATAACAAACACAATTAAAAAGGGAATTAAAAATTTACTTAACTGATAACCAATGGTAGGTCATCTGCTCATTAGATGTATGGCAGGATCAAAAGGTATTTTTTGCCCTTATCAAGCAGATATAACAAAATACTTTTAATAGTGTTTTTAACAGACCTAAGGAGACCTAATAAGAGAAGTTCATTCTGAGGGCGTGCACTTTGGGGTCTATTTTTAAATGTTTTCACCAAAGATTCACACAACTGTCATGCAAGACTCATTAATTTTTCTAATTGATTTTCATTGGAAAAAAATGTATTAAAAAGTTTTGTAAATCTCAGGTGAGAACATTTATAATTACACCCCTTTAACCACTTCCAGACCGGACACTTTTACCCCCTTCCTGACCAGGGCAATTTTCAGCTTTTAGCGCTATCACACTTTGAATGACAATTGCGCAGTCATGCAACACTGTACCCAAATGAATTTTTTACCATTTTTTTGAGACAGATAAAACTTTATTTTGGTGGTATTTATTCACCACTGGGATTTGTATTTTTTTTGCTATGTAAATGAAATGTCCAAAAATTTTGAAAAAAAGTGTTTTTTTTATAAAATTTTGCAAATAAATAATATTGCATCATAAATCTTAGCCAAAATTTATTCCGTTATCTTTTTAGTAAAAAAAAAAATCCAAATTAGTTTATAAGCAAAAATTATAATTTTTAAACATTTTTTTTTACATTTTTATTTTATTTTTTTATATTATTATTTTTTATTTTTATTTTTTTTTTTTTACATACTGTCACCCTAGCAGTACAGTGTCACCATGGTGACACTGTACTACTTGTGGGGGGTGATGAAGATTTTTTTTTTTTTTTTTACACTGATTGCTTTTACACCCATATAGGATGTAAAAGCAATCATTTCTCTTTCTCTCTGTCTGCATTCTTGCACTCATTGAGAAGTACTGAGTGAGCTGTGATTGGTCACAGCTTGTCACATGGTACAAGGCTTTTGTGAATAGCCTTGTACCATGTGACCTCTGTGATCATTCACAGATTTCACACGTAGTAAGCAATGATGTCAGAAGTGACATCTTGCTTACTACTTTGCATGTGATCACTGATTGGCCAATAAGTGATCACATGATCGGGACCTCGTACAGAGGTCCCGTCCGACGATCGGTGTTTCACTGTGTCCGGAGGACACAGCGGGAACTGGATCGCGGTGCTGCGTGCTCCCAGGGAGCGCGCACAAGCAGGGTGCGGGGAGGCCGTTTATAGACGGCCACCCGACCCTGCAGTGCCACCGTCCGGCCGTTTATATGCAACGGCCGGACGGGAGGTGGTTAAGTAGTGCAATAGGGTAAAAAAAATGGTTTGGAGGGAGTCATCTGCAAATATCGCCCAAATCACCCACTCCGCTCCTCCCAAGATATCTTCCTCTCTAGCTCCCTCATCACCTCCTCCCACGCTCGCCTCCAGGACTTCTCCAGAGCCTCTCCCATCCTCTGGAACTCCCTACCACAGTATGTCCGGTCAGTCCCCACCCTGCCTGCCTTTAGGTGATCTTTGAAAACTCACTCATTCAGGGAAGCCTACCCCACCTCCGCCTTAGAACTGTACTTGAATCACCTCCACCAGATCATCCCCTGCAACTATCACCTTTTGTATCACCTCCCCCTTCCTTTAGATTGTAAGCTCCACAAGCAGGGCCCTCACATTCCTTCTGTACTGAAATGTATTGTAATTGTACTGTCGCCCTTATATTGTAAAGCGCTGAGCAAACTGTTGGAGCTATATGAATCCTGTAGAATAATAAATATAGTTTTATCAAAAATTGTTTCCTGTGAAGCTGAGGCTTAGGGATAAAAAGTTAGGTGGAGAAAGCTTGATGACATTAGTCCCCCATAATGCATTCAGAAGACACTGGGGTGCCTAAGCTACTTTTAGTCAGGAGATTTGATTGTTCACAATCTGTTGCATTTGGGCTATGTTCTAGGCCCCCCAATAGGACAGTGCATATTGACATTTAGACTTCAGGTCTGCATGAGATATTTTTAGAGTAGATCATTTTCTCTATCTTAATATTCCCCTCTGTATTTGTATAGAGGAGGAAAACAAGTGGGACATTTTTGCCCTCAAGGGTGGTAATTGTTGTTATATGCCAATAAAAGCTCAAGGCTTACTGATATACAATCGAGAACAGTGATTTCCGGGCATGTCTTAGGTCTGTATGTAGCATTTTATTAAGTGTTCAGCACAATTCCCACATTTATTGTTATACGCACTGGACATTCCATCCACCACTAAGCTCAAAACCCAGTATATAGGACTTAAAGTTGAGCTACAGGCAAAATAAAAAATGATATCTATGATTGAGTCTACTAAAGTGGAGCTGAACTCTACAATACTTACCTCTCCTTCTGCGGTCTGACATCCCTTGCTGGTGCTGGCATCTTCTACCCAGCTTTCTCCATTTGCCAGGCTGTGGCTGTCTCCATTGGCCAGCTTGAGATGTGCCAAAATGTAAGCTGACCTGTGCTTGAGCAGATCAGTGCACATCCCAAAGAAGACTGTGATCAGGTAGATAAGTTTCTTTCATTGCAAAAGAGACATGGCGTGTCTATTCTTCAATAAAGGGTCTGTCTGCTCACAGTTTTTGAAAGCTAGACTTTAGTTCCTTTTTATTAGCTGGAACCAGGGGCAGACTGAAAACTCATGGGGCCCCCGGGCAATAGGGGATCATGGGGCCCCTGTGTCCTTGCTCACACTCAATCCACACCCAAAAAAAGTCTATGAAAGGTACCAGGGGCATCTTATGGGGCCCCCTACTGACCCCGGGCCCTCAGCAAGTGCCTGAATTCCCAAATGGTCAGTCCACCCCTGACTGGAACACAGCAGTTTTTGTCTTTCTGCGTCCCCCTTCAATTGAAAAACAATGAAAATAGTACTGGTCAAATGCCCCCAAACCTGTATCAACTGGATCAGCATGTGGAAAGTTTGGATCAAGACAGACAGGATAAGCTTGTCAGGCTCCAGTAGACTTCAACAAAATGGCGGCCATCTGCACACCGACTCCCTGTTGCATGAGTGTGAATGAAATGGGAAAAAGATGGCTTCAGCTCCTTTTCTCCACCTGTAGAGAACCCCTCAGATGTGTTTCATCCTGTTGTATGATTAAGCCTCAAAAAGGGTGAATGATCACAGAGGTCACATGGTACAGAGCTATTCACAACAGCCTTGTACCATGTGAAAAGCTGTGACCAATCACAGCTCACAGTATTTCTCAATGGCTGCAGGGATGCAGCCGGAGAGAAGGAGAAATGATTGCTTTTACAGCCTTTATGGGTGTAAAAGCAATCAGTATAAAAAAAAAAAAAAAAAATCTTCATCACCCCTCACAGGTAGTACAGTGTCACTATGGGGACACTGTACTGCTAAGGTGACAGTATGTTAAAAAACAAAAAAACATAAATAATAATCTAAAAAAATAAAAAAAAAGGTAAAAAACGTTTTTTGAAAAATTATAATTTTTGATTATAAACTAATTTGAGTATTTTTTTTTTTACTAAAAAGATAACTGAATAAATTTTGGCCAAGATTTATGAAGAAATATTATTTATTTGCAAAATGTTATAAGTAAAAACACATTTTTTCAAAATTTTTGGACTTTTTCATTTATATAGCAAAAAAAAAAAAAAAATCTAAGTCGTGAATAAATACCACCAAAATAAAGTTTTATCTGTCTCAAAACAATGCAAAAACATTCATATGGGTACAGTGTTGCATGACCACGTAATTGTCATTCAAAGTGTGACAGCGCTGAAAGCTGAAAATTGGCCTGGGACAGGAAGGGGATAAAAATGTCCGGACTTGAAGTGGTTAAACATCACATATGGGGAAGTTGGTCCTTCTCACAAAGGATTATCAGCCCTCACTATTTTCATGTATGTTTTTCAGGCATAGTCCACCACTGTCCTGATAAGGAAGCTGGTTCAGAACAATAATGTGCAACTGATATTGGAGCGGCAGGAAGAGGTTGAAAGACGCTGGGGAAGATCAGCAGTACTGAGATACCAAAAAATAGTTTTTTGGTAATAATTAAATGTCATCTTTGTAAGGTTTAGACCTACTTGAGGCGTTTTGTTGTTTCAGGGACCATGCTAACAGCTGACCATTTTAATCAGAGTTCAGCTTATATCTTCATCATTGTGGGTTTTGAGACCCTGAGGAACATAGAAATCTTCCTGTTTTCCTTTTTTTTCATCATGTACATCCTTACCATGGGGGCTCATGTTCTTATCATCACACTTGTCCTTGTGGACAACCACCTACACAAGCCCATGTATCTGCTTTTGGCCAACTTCTCCTTGGTGGAGGTTCTGTACACCACAGTGACTATACCAAAGATGTTGGATGTTCTGCTGACCCAGAACAAAGAGATCCCCTCCACCGGCTGCCTTGTTCAATTTTACTTTTTCTTTGCTTTTGGAGCAGCAGAGAATTGTTTCCTTGTTGTTATGGGCTATGATCGTTATGCCGCAATCTGCCGGCCCTTACACTATACCATGTTAATGACCAAAAGGACTACCTTGGGGCTGGCACTTGCCCCATGGATAGTTGGGTTTATAACAGCTGCCTGCCCCACTATCTGGATATCCACCATTAGCTTCTGTTTCCCAAATTACATCGACCACTTCTTTTGTGATTACTCACCCCTTCTGAAGCTGTCTTGTGAAGATACCTCAAGAGGAGAGTTCACGTTCTCCGTGATATCCTGGAGTTTAACCCTTGGTTGCTTTTGTCTCATCATGGTCTCTTACACTTTTATCATTTTCGCCGTTCTGAAGATTCCATCTGTTGAAGGCCAGAAGAAGGCTTTCAGCACTTGTGCTTCCCACCTCACAGTGGTATTGATCTTTAACGGGACCATCATATTCATGTACATACGCCCCAATTCTCACATCAGGTTCACTCTTGATAAGGTGGTGTCCATCTTCTATTGTGTGGTGACCCCTCTAATGAACCCTATGATCTACTGCCTGAGGAACAAAGAGGTGAAAGAGGCCCTTAGAAAGGTTTTCATGAGCCAAAGGATCACAGCACGAGGAGGGTGACAACATCTCTAAAGACTTCAGTTCTACAGATTCCATTAAAACTAATGGAAAATTAAAATGAAAGAATATCGCCTATGGTGGGATGAGTCCATCAAATCAGAAAAGTTATAACTGGCCACTGTAGGCACAAGGTTTACTAATGTGTGTTTATTTTATTTTAAATCTGAATATTGTACATTTTTCTGATAAAAAATACCATTTGTTCTAAAAAAAAATTTCCCCCCACTTTTTTAGATATGAACAGTTGCACACGAATATTTATTTTTAAAGATTTGCAGCCAGAAGGTGGAGCTGTAGGCTCTTCTTTAAATGTTTACCAGGCTAACTGTAACTGCCCATATGGAAGAAAAATATATTTGAAAAATATTTTAAATTTTAAAAAATATTCTTCCCAAATATATTGCCATATATTTGCAATGCTGCAGCTTTGGCCATATTCAATATACTTCAATATATATATATATATATATATATATATATATACATACTGTATGTTGAAATGCTTTTTAATTACAAAATATATGAAAAATATTTGTAAAAATACATTTCAAACATACTGTATGTCTTTAAAAATACAAATCTACATTTTTGGAATGCATTTACAAATATAAAAAAGTCATTTTAACATATATTTTTACATATATGTTAAAAAAAAATCGGAAGAATATATTTAAAAAAAAAATGTTTAAAAATATATATTTTTTAAATATATGCTTTAGATTTTTTTAACATATAAAAAAGTCATTTTAACATATATTTTTACATATATTTGTAAATGCATTCCAAAAATGTAGATTTGTATTTTTAAAGACATATAGCATGTTTGAAATTTATTTTTACAAATATTTTTCATGTACTTTGTAATAAAAACGCATTTCAACATGCAGTATACACATATATATATATATATATATATATATGTGTGTGTGTGTGTATGGGTGTGTATATATATATAAATATTTATTGAAATATATTTTGACATATATTGAATATGGCCAAAATTGTAGCATTACAAATACATGGTAATATATTTGGGAAGAATATTTTTAAAATATATTTCAAATATATTTTTCTTCCATATGGGAAGAACCAGTAACCCCCCCACACATATATTATATTGTATTTTTGGGTTTTAGATAGAAATAAAAAAAAAATAAAAAAAAACCCCTAGGTCTGGGATGCCTTGCTGGCTGAGATTCAGTTACATTTACTGGTATATCTCTTTGGAGGTGTTGAGATGTTTTGGTTTAAAGGATTGAGATTTGGGAAATGTGACATTGATGTAAGTCTCTAAAGCTCAAACCTCCAGATACAGCTCTGTGTCTTGAACGCCATAAAAGCCCCGAGCTCATACTCTCAGTGACTCGTCCAGTCCTGATCCCCGGGCACGGCACAGGTCTGTATTATTATATCATAAAGAAAAGATCGGTACTGTCTGTAGAGCAGAATGCTGCTACCTATCACTGCAGGTTCCAAGATCCATTTATTGGTTGGTAAATAGGAAAAAGTTTATATAAAATAGAACAAGAAAAAAAAATCTGTAGCAAAAACATTGCTCTATCACAACTAGAGATGTGCACAATGAAAAAATTTGTTTCATTTCATTTTGGATTCGTTTGTTAAGTGAATAATTTTATATCATCATATTTGTCATGTTAGAATGATTCGTTTTCGGAATTAATTTCATATATTCGGATTTATTTCATGTATTCGTTATTTTTAATCAATTTCAGAAAAGGGCTATGTTCTTTCTGTTCTATTCTATTCTATTCTATCGGAATTCTATTCGGAATTTGAATCTCAAAATTCGAATTTTAGAAGATGGTTGTATTTTTTCTATTTTATTGTATTCTTTTCGAAATTCAGATTTCAAATCGCCAAATTTGAATTTTGGAAGATGGCTACATTCCTTCCACTCTATTCTGTTCTAATCTATTCTTATTTTTTCTATTCTATTTTTTTATTTTCTTTTGTAGTCTGTTCTTTTTTTTCAATTCTATTTTATTTTTTTTATATTCTATTTATTCTATTCTTTTATTTTCTTTTGTAGTCTGTTCTATTCTTTTCTATTCTATTTTTTTCGGTTATGTTCTGTTTTATTATAATATTTTCTATTCTATTTTATTTATTATTCTTTTTTTTCCATTCTTTATTATTCTATTCTGTTCTATTTCTATTTTATTTATTTATATTCTTTCTATTTTATTTTATACTGTTCTATAAAGTAGCTTAAGTAGCAATAATCGTCTTATTTCTCTTTTATACCTTACTGAATCTCAAAATTCGAATTTTAGAAGATGGTTGTATTTTTTCTATTTTATTCTATTCTTTTGGAAATTCAGATTTCAAATTGCCAAATTCGAATTTCAGAAGATGGCTACATTCCTTCCACTCTGTTCTGTTCTAATCTATTCTCATTTTTTTTATTCTGTTCTTTTATTTTCTTTTGTAATCTGTTTTATTCTTTTCTATTTTATTTTTTATTCTGTTCTGTGTTAATATATTATTTTCTGTTCTATTCTATTCTTTTATTTTCCATTCTTTATTATTCTATTCTGTTTTATTCCACTCTATTCTTTTTTATTTTTTTTTTTTACATTCTTTTTTTTTTATTTATTTTTATTCTGTTCTACAAAGCAGCTTAAGTAGGAATCATCGTCTTATTTCACTTTTATATCTTTACCTGTATTTATTGCAATATGTTTCCTTTTCAAATTCTTTCTTGAATTTAAATTCATTTTTGAATTTGGATAATTCGTTTCATTATAATTTTTTTCAGATTTGTTGAAATTCGTTACTGTTGTGATTCAGAAATTCGGTTACATCTCCGAATAACAGAAATTCTGTGTCAATTTCTATTTGTAGCGAAACTATTTGCACTTCTGCTCACAACTACAATGTTTTATTAAACTTTGACACTCAATCATTATAAAGATTTATTCCCGCAGAACACACATAAACATCAATTTGTTATTTTATTTTTAAAAGATAAATTTGTCATCAAAATATTCAGTTCTCAGAAGTAAATCTCATTGGCATGCAGTGATTTCACTGCATTTAAACGAACATTCAGCCATTTAAAGCAGACATTTTTCACGGATTGGTATTTTGTCTTCACACAGAACAGCTCACTTCTCTGCTCATCTCAGTAGGTGCCTCATAGAAACTTGACCTCCCATCTGATGGTACCTGCATAGTTCCAGGCCAGGGGCGGACTGACCATTGGGGAACTTGGGCACTGCCCGAGGGCCCGGGGTCAGTAGGGGGCCCCATGAGATGTCCCTGGTACCTTTCATATGCTTTTTTGGGTGTGATTTAAGTGTGGGCGAGGACACAGGGGCCCCATGATCCCCTATTGCCCGGGGGCCCCATGAGTTGTCAGTCTGCCCCTCTTGCAGGCCAATGCCACTTGGCAGTGCCAGTTGTATTACACCAATAATATATTTTATCTGTCTGTAAGGGAGGGATTCCGACAAGCACTGTAAAGGGGGCACTTTTCCAACTGGCTCCCAATGAATTGGTCTTAGAAGGGGTTACCCGAAACTTCAAAAATGATTTCTAGGTAAAAAACGTTGAGAAAGGCTGGTATAGAGTGAATCAAGAAAATACCCCTTTATAGCCATTAGATGGCGCTGCTGATCATAGCAAATGAATACTTAACAACAAGGCTGTGAAAGGCACATTACTTAACCCCTTGCCCTTCAGAGGATTTCCCCTCCTTCCTGACCAGGCCATTATATGCAATACAGCTCTGCGTTACTTAAACTGACAATTGCGCGGTCATGCAACGCTGCACCCAAATGAAATTTATGCCCTTTTTTCCCACAAATAGAGCTTTCTTTTAGTGGTATTTGATCGCGTGTGCATTTTTTATTTTTTTGTGCTATAAACAAAAAAGGACCGGCACTTTTGAAAAAAAAAACCAACAATATTTTTGACTTTTTGCTATAAAACATGTCTAGTAAAATAATTAAAAAAATCTAATTTCATCATAAATTGAGGCCAAAATGTATTCTGCTCCATGTCTTTGGTAAAAAAAAAATCCCAATACGTGTAAATTAATTGGTTTACGTGAAAGTTATAGCATTTACAAATGGCGGTATATATATATAAACATTTTTTTATATACTAGTAATGTGACTTATAGGACTGCGGCAGGCATTCTGACACTGGGGGGGAACTGACTAATTGCCACTGACATCCCCAGTGACACCAATACAGTGATCAATGCTAATAAAAAGCACTGACACTGTACTAATTACATTGGGCAGGAAGGGGTTAACATCTGGGGCGATCAAAGGGTTAACTGTGTGCTGGGAGTGTGTTGTACTGTGTAAGCATGCTGCTTTGTATGACTCTGCTATGCAGAGCCATACAAAGCAGCATTGCTGGTGCTGACAGGGGAGAGATCTGTATAGTTTACATACAGACCTCTCCCCTGTCATTGTTCCTTGGCGTTCCTTGGGTGCTGGTGGGGACCTGGTGATCGACAGCTGTAGTAGGGCAGTCGGGAAGTGGTTAAAGCAGTATTAAATCAAATGCAAACATTTATTATATTGCAGTTTACCAATTCTTAGATACGATGGCTGCATTCCTTTTCTTTTTTTGGCTTTCTTAATTTCTATTTTCATCTTGCGATTCAGCCAGCAGCTCTGCTGTTTTTCAGAAGTTCAAGCTCTCCAGCAGAATGTATCAGTTTACATGGACAAGGCTAAAAAAAGACAACTGATGCAGCCACCACATCTAATGATTGGTAAGCTGTGATATATGACATTTTTGGGTTTGGGTTTAGTACCGCTTCAATACTTACAAAGCAGCACCGGAGGGCACATATGACAGGTCAGCCCGCGGTGCATACTAACCAGGGGCGGACTGACAACTCATGGGCCCCTGGGCAATAGGGGATCATGAGGCCCTGTGTCCTTGCCCACACTCAAAAAAGCCTATAAAAAGGTACCAGGGGCATTTCATGGGGCCCCCTACTGACCCGGGCCCTTGGG